ATTCATGAATCCCTGTTAGATTCATAAAAGTTTTACTCATATCTACTTGGTGAATTTCATCGCTTCATCAATATGAAGTTTTTATCTTCTTTATTTTGGCAACTGGCTGGTACAGGGATCAAACCGTGGACCTTGGTGTTATCAGCACCACACTTAACCAACGGGGCTAACCAGCCAGCCCAATGTGAAATTTTTAATTTTACCATGATTTCTATTTTGCCTGATGTTAAAATTGGTATTCCTACTTTTTCTTTTAGAACCTTCCTAGAATTTCTATCATTTTCTACTCATCTGTCATTTTAATTTAGATATCTTATCTCAGGAGAATTTAAGCTGGCTTCTTGTTAACGTCATTTAAATCTTTAACAAGGAAATTTAAGTCATTCATGTTTATTGTGCTTTCTGATTTAGTTTGATTTTTCTCGTTTTGTGCTGTCCACAGTTTTTGATGGTGGTTTTCCTCTCGTTTTGTTATATACTCTGTCTTCTGCCTGGTGTATATAGTTAAGTGTGATACTGAGTCATCTGTCAACTGGCTTTATCTTCCCATTGAATGCTAGTTCAAGTATAAGATTCTATTAAAATAATTTCTGTAGAACTTTGAAGATATTGTTTCCATCTCGCTAGCATCCAGTGTTGCCTGAGAAGTTTTGTGCTGATCTGAGCATTTTTCTAGTATTTTTCTTTCTGGAAGCTTTAAAAGCTCACCAATCTCGGGGCTCTGAAATTGTACTGCCTGCCCTGCTTCTAGATAAGCCACCTTAAGACTCATGGCTGTCTTCAGTGTTAGGAATTATACTCTCTGTTCTATCCTGGACCATCTAGAACTAGCTTTCATGTCTGTCGTCGTATTTCCCCNTGTCAAAATATAATTCTGTGCCCCATAAATATGTACTGTCAATACATATCAGTTAAAAAAAATGATTTCTTCAAAAAAAAACTTATCCACAAAACCCAGATTAAAACCCCAGATTTGGAACGTTGCAGGGCATCTTGGGCAAGAGAAGCAAGTGTGACAACCACGCACCTGCTCTTAACAGCAACTCTTGTCACTTTTCACTATATTTCATGGGCCATGGTAAGTCCCTTGCCCAGGCCTGAGGGCACTGGAAAATGGAAACAGTTATCCCCAGAAGTTACAACAAATACAAGAGAACAACACTTCACCCTGGGGGGAGGGAGGGGTAGATCTTTAACATAACAATCTTTAATTATTATTGATCTGTTTATTTTCTCTTTCCTGATTCAGAGTTTGTAATTTTACATCTTCCTGGATGATCATCTGTTTTGAGTCATCTAAACTTGCTGGGGTAAAGTTCTACTTAACAGTCACGATTGACTTTGTCTATCTGCAGTCCCCTTTCTCTTTTTCAAAGTCTATTGGAATGATTCTCAACTGGGTACAGCTTTGCTCCCTAGGGGACATTTGGTGAAATCTGGAGACATTTTTGGTTGTCACAGCTGCGCAGAGGGGTTCTACTGGCATCTGCTAGGTAGAGCCCGGGGGTGCTGCTAAATGTCCTATAGTGCACAGGACAGCCCCCCAGAGCAAAGACTGACCTGACCCA